GAAACCCTAGCTAAGGACACAGCCTTGGAAGTAGTGTGATGGAGTACCAAAATAATTTCAGTCCTTAGGAGCATAATATTTTAAAGAAATATTTGTAAAAACAGAAAATAATGCAAAAATTCCATGATGCACAAAATGTCAAAGTTTTAAATAAATATAGAACTTGACCCCGCACATTGGTGATTCACCACTTGACCTCACCCTAATCCTAAGGCTATGGGAAGGTTAGATGGTCAGATGATGCCAAAAGACATAGGAAGTCTAAGGTCAAGGTTAAAATCGTGGGGTTAAAAGTCATGTAATTTCAGACTTGAATTCTGGCTATATGACCTTAGCACAAATTATTTAATCTATTAAACTTGAATTTTTTCATATGCAATGAGGAAATAATAATAATAATAATAATAATAATAATAATTCTTAACCCATAAGGTTTTTGTAATGACTAAGCAAGGTAATGTAGATAAAAAGCTTGTGCCTGAGCTGGGGAGGCAGAGCCAGGTTTTGTGGAGCCTGAATCTTATATAATTTGGGGTACCTTCCACAGTTCCCCTGTGAAGAGTTTTCACCTAAAAAATCCAAGTTTGAGCCACCACATAGTGAACGGCAACTCTCTGGTAAAGATGAGGCTTTGGGCCAATGGTCTGAAAAATTGACATGGTAAATATTAAAAATAAGAAAATACATCATAAATAAATTTTTGAAGCTCAAAATCCAGAAAGATATAACATTTTTATCAATTACTTGCCCCTACACATCACTGGAATACTTTTGGGGCTATCTTAACTTCCTTTTTATATGACAACAATTCCATAATGATTTCTATAGAGAGAATAGAAAATTCCATAATAATTTCTCTATCAATTGTTTTGCTTTATATTATTGAAGTTTAGAAAGTATCCCTTAACTTTACAATTCACAGTTAGTAATGTGTCATTTCTTATAATTGTTCTTAAATTTGAGAATACTTTTAGCACATGATATGTGAATTATAATATCTAGAAGATATTCCACAGATTAGTTCATTTCTTTTTCATGAACTGTCTCTATCTGGCCACCTACCACTGTAGGACACATTCTGTTACAACACAATCCTTGGCCCTACACTTTTTGTCACAATACTAAGTTGACCCAATAGGTAATAGAAGTATACATGGAAGCCATTCCTAAGTTAGCAATAACTTAAAAAAAATTATAAAAGACTGTGAGTCACCTAAAAGCATTCCACTATACCCAAACTAAACCCACCTTACTTTTTGCCGACTCTGGACAATGGTCATAGCCAACGACTCATAATTAGTAATGTGTCAATTCTTAGTATAGTTAATTTTGGGAAGACTTCCTAATGGGGGTTTGTGTGACAGAAGAATGGTTTAGAGAGGAAAGTGATGGTGGTTTTTTCTATTCTAGTTGAAATACCTTACTTTTTAGAAGTAGTACAGAAACACAACCAAGTGAACATGTTGCTATAGACCCTCTCTCTCCCCACTACCTTGGAAGAGCGTTGTCAAGTGCAGAGGCCTGAAATGAAAGTTTCATTAGTGTCACAGTAAATGAACTGTACTGACATGTAAATTCTCAATGCTAAGTTTTCAATGAATGCTATTTTATTACTTCAGAGTTTTCCAGAGCACTTAATATCTACCTACTCTCTAGCACTTATCACATTCACTTTATTTGCACTCCTATCTCACTTTCCAGCTAGATTATGCATGCAAAGGCAGGTGCTAGGCTTTATTAATCTTTGTGTCATGGTGTCTAGCACAGTACCTGATTCAAATTAGGGATTCAGACAACAATGAATAAATGAAAGCATGCTAAGTAGAAAGACGACATATCACAAGAAAACTTAAAGCAGTGTGACTGAGAAAATGCCCAGGAGTTGTGGACCAGAGAGGTAGGATAATAATATGCCAAGACAGGAAGTGCTTGTGTCAAGTGCCGCAGTGTGATCGGAGGTCTTAGACTGATGAGAAATGTGAAATAGATATAGGAAGGACTTAAAAAAAAAAAAAAGCTGGGTGCAGTGATGCATGCCTGTAAGCCCAGTGGCTTGGGAGCCTGAGACAGGAGTATTGCAATTTTGAGGCCAGCCTGGGTAATTTAGCAAAACCCTGTCTCAAAACTTAAAAAAATTAAAAGGGCTTGGGATGTAGCTCAATAGTGAAGCACTACTGGGTTCAATCCCCAATACTAAATAAGTAAATAAATAAATTGAAAATTGTGGTTTCATTTTTATATAAGCTATCTAGAAAAGGCTAATCTAGAGAGAAAGTAGATTAGTTACCTGGGGCTGGAGGTGGTCTGGGCATAATGTAAATGAACCTAAGGAATCTTTCAGGGGTGATGGAAATGTTCTAAATTGGATTATGATGAATATTGTATAACTGCAAATTTGCTAGAAGTAACTTGATTGTACATTTGTAGTGAGTGAGTAAATTATACTTCAATAAAACTATTTAAAGAAACTTTTTTTAAAAAAGCAATGTCAGAGATTCAAATGTTATGGGCCAGGCTATATGGGCAATGATGAAACAGACTCCATTTTGCCCTGAGACTCCATGTCATATAAAAAATGCTTCTCCCAAGAAAACTCCACCACTGCCATTCTGGTCCTGCTTAGCACACCCTGCTTAGGAATGCAAATGTTTTTGTTCTTCTTATGTAATATAAAATTGTTCTCTTTTTGGTTCCCATTTTTCTTGAAAATGTTAATAGCCATTTTTTAACTTGTACTCAATTGGGGTCATTTTGACCCACTTCCCCTTCTGCTTGTGATTTTAGATCCCATGATGTTTGTTTATGGTCTCGAATCATAGCAACAGCCATTTATGATTAATGTACTGACATGCTTTACTTATAGTATAAAAGGTGTACTCAAACCCCGGGAGGGAGTCAAAGGGTGTAGACTTGCAGCCTGCCCCTTGGCCTGCCAGCCCGTAGGTCTGGACCGCTAGCTGGTAAATAAAGTTTCCGTCTCCTGCTTTAAGATTGACTCAGTGATTTATTGCAATCTCGCCATAACACAAAAGTGAAAAGGCTGTAATGTGCATATATTATTTCAGAACTATCACACATTGAGTAATTTTTCTGTTTCATCAAGAGTTCTATACATTATGGTGAAATGTGTTGTGTGTGCTGGGCGGCTTTGTAGAGGGTATCCTTAAATAAGCCTCTTTTGTCTGCAGACTCCCCAGGTTCTCTCACAGCACTTTGCTGATCCTCCCTTAGTGGCTAGATTTTGAGATGCAAAATGGCCATGTCCTCCGTTTCTCACCTTCCCTCATAATAAAACTCTTTTCTTTCATTTGGAGCACTCATTTATAGAGAAAAAAGACTCAGGTAAAGTAATTTAGTTTCTCATGTGAACTTAATGTTGAACGTGTCACTACCTGCCCAGTGCAGATGTGTTTTGAACCACAGACGCTACTTAACATGTCAGTTTTACCTGTGATGTTCTTGAACCAGTCTCCTTTGGTCTGCCAGGCAGCAAGCCAGTCACTGAAAGGAATGAAGTTTATTCCCCAGGTGGCTAGTCATGTGGAGACTGGAGAACCAGTCTCCAATCCTCCAGGGGATATTTATGGGCTGTGGCATAGGAAAAGGTGATTGGAAGTTAAGTAGGAGCAGGGGAATTGAGTAGAGGATTTACTCAGGCATGAACTGTTATCCTGATCTACAGGTCAGAGATGTTATCTAAAGTCAACTAAAAGTAAATAAGAGCAGGTGACATCCAGAAGGTTTGTTCAGAAACTAAGAACAGATGGTTTATTTAGGTTTCCCTCCACTTCCATGATAAATATTTTGCTATCATAGAAACTTTTTTTTTTTTGGATGGTGCTGGGGCTATGAACCCAGGGCCTTGTGCATGCAAGGCAAGCACGCTACCAAGTGAGCTGTATCTCCAAAGCCCTAATTCTTTTCTTTTTTAATTAAGAAAGACAAGCATCATCAGGAGTAATTCACCATTTGTTGCACTGTTTGCCATCTTTGGTTCATTAACTCAAGCCTCTTGCAGATAAATAATTCAGTGTAGTTATATCCCAGATATTTCATTTTTTAAAGAATAAGTGTGACCTATGTGATATTTGGGACATACAATAACGTTATTTTTTTCTGAAATTCAAACTGAGTATCCTATAATTTTTTTTAACAGTCCTCTATTTTAAGCTGTGTGAAAGCTTGTTTTAAGTCATTCTTAAATGGCTTGTGTTTGACTTTATGAGCATAAACTCTTTGAGGCAAAACATTAGATTTCCTGGTTGTTGGGAAATTTAAGTTTCGGTTTTGCAGCTCCTTCAATTAAAAAGGTACTTCAAAATAGAAGCCAAAGCCAGTGCAGTGGCTCACCCTTGTAATCCCAGCGACTCAGGAGGCTGAGGCAGGAGGATCTCAAGTTCCAGGCCCGCCTGAGCAATTTATGGAGGCCCTGTCTCAAAAAATAGCTCAGTGGTACAGGGCCCCTCTCTACAATCCCCAGTTTAAAAAAAAAGGACTGGAGGAGGAAGAAAGCCAGTTCCCCTGTGGGGAGATTTCCCCTAAAGAATCTGAGTGAAACTCTGGCAAAGATGAGGCTTCAGGCCAAAGGTCTGAAGCGCATCGCGCGCTCCAGTGGGCCAAGGCCACCAGGGGCTCGGCCCGGCCCGGCCTTCCAGCCTACTGACTAGGGGAGCCTGGCAAACCGTCTCCTCGTCCTCTCTGCTGGGTCATAGAGAACACCACCCAGCTGCCCCCTCCAGATCCCGACGCGCGTGCCCCTCAACCCCGCGTCTCCCTCCCGCGGGGTTGAACAGGAAAACTACTGTCGGGGCGCAGAGTGCCCAGAACTAGCCGTGAGTTTTGAAACCCACAGCTCTCAAGATGTGAGAAGCTCTACGAAACCCAAGACCTGCAGGACGATTCACAGTCACTCGCGTTCCTGCCCCCGCACTCCCGCCCCCGCTTTTTTGTCGGAGGAAAGTAAACAGCCTAGCGCGGGGTGTGCGCACCATCGAGAAGTGGAAGCTGGGACACACCCTCCCTGCACTCCGCCCCCGGGAGGGGCGGGGCGGCGCGGGGCAGGCTGCTCCCACAGCGGGCTGGGGCCGGGAGCCTCGGGCGCCGACCGGGGAGCCGTGGGCGCCGGCTGGGAGCCCGCCGCGCCGGAGGATGCGCCGCTGACGCCGAGAGTTCCCGGCGCCGGGCAGGAGGATGCTCTCGAGGGGCCTCTGGCTGGGGCGGCTGCTGCCGAACCCCGGAGTCCCGGGCCGAGCTCGAACGAGGCCACCGACACCGACGCCCCAGGTAAGACTAGGTACCCGGCCTCGGGAAGCCCCGGAGCAGGTGGGTGGAAAGTTTCCGGCCGGCAACTTTGGCTCCAGCGAAAGCGGAGCGACCGGGCTGTTCACTGCGTTGTGCTGGCCCCGGCTCCACGCTCGGGGAGGCCCACAGGTGGTGGCCCAGCCGGCGACGCAGGTCGGGACGTCCAGGGCGGGGGGTCACACCCTGGGACCGGGGGGAGGAAAGGCCAGAGTGGCACGCGGGGACATCACGCTGGCCAGGTGCGGGTGCGCGGGGCTGCGGCCCGGGCTGCGGCCCGGGCTGCAGATTCTCGGGACTAAGTTTCACGAGCCGCTTTACGGTCCGCTAGTTCCTCCGGGTTCCACGATGATGTAGTGGGAGTGGGAGCTACAGAGATGGTGGAGCCGGGCAGGGACTGTGGCAGGAGAGTGGCATTTCCCTCTGTGAACCGCGAGAGCACCTCCCTTTTGAAGAGGGAAGGAAAGACTGCCATTTGGTTCGGAGACCCGGGAGACGGTGAATCATGAGGGTGCTGGTGAGTAACAGTTGGCCTTAAAGAGTGGCACCGAGCGATCTGGGTCGAACCGTTGCTCTCAGCAGGAGGGAGGAGATGGATGTGTACTAAAAACGACCCAGGAAGAGCCGAGCAGGTGCTGAGTTAACTGGGACTGTGATGGAGCCTGACAGGAGCCCGGAGCCCTCCTTGAACTCGCCGAGAAAAGACAGCCTTAAAAAAATTATTAGTTATTGGTGGACCTTTATTTATTTATTTGTTTATATGTAGTGCTGAAGATTGAACCCAGGACCTCACTTGTGCTAGGCACCCACTCTACCACTGAGCCACAACCTCAGCCCCAAGACAGACTTTAAAAAGGGTTTTTCAGGCTGCATGTGGTTGGGAGGGAGTGGATTTGAGTTTTAGTTTGCCCCCCCTATTATTAGTTTATGATTGTTAAAAGGGCAGAATTTAAAAACAATCTTTTATCTGTCCAATGCAAAAGAAAGCAAAAAGGAAGCAATGCGATTCTCTTGTCACTTTCACTTCCTCCCCCGCCCCCCACCCACTATCTCAGTGCTTCAGAGTCCTGGATTAAGAAAATATTTAAATACACTGTTCAAATGTTTTCCCTGAATGTTTGAAAACGAATGAAGGCCATTTTGTTACTAATACTTAAAAAAAAAAAAAGGAGCAGACTCTTTAAAATGGTAGACTTAATAAGTACTTGAGCAGAGAGGCATTTTAAAATTGTACTTTTAAGTGTGGCATTTCAGAAAGACATACCAAACACTGAAATAACCCCGTCACCACACACCATTTAAACAACTGATTGTTTTCTTTTAAACTCATTTAACACTTGCAGTACTTCACACATGCTAGACAAGCTCTCTATCACTGAGCTATCCCAGCCCTTTAACACTTTGAGTAGCATCTTTATGGATCCCAGGACTGGTTGTCCCTTCTTAAATTATCAACTTCAAACCCTTTCTCTGTATTTCTCACCTGATCCTCTCTAGAGGGTGTCACTGCAGGCCTGCCCCAGCAGGAATGTGAATGCCTTATGAAAGAAGTAGAAAATGATATGGTGGGACTTATTAGGCCTAATAATAGTGGAATGGTGCTGGTTAGTACTTTGGTTTTAATTAATCGCCTTAAGAAGTCCTGTATTTGAATGTTTCTAATTTGCAGACTTTAAAATCAGGTCTCCATGCTACAAAGACAATCTGCAGAACTTCAGAAGCGAAAATGCTGCCATCGTTTTACCTATCTGATAAAATAACACCCCCCAACCCCAAATAAAGGCAAGCCTGTCAGTTTGCCTCTTTATATGAAGCTTTAAAATCTTACTGTAAAGAAACAGAAATATCTGGCCCCTTGGGAGGTTTAGCTAGGACTTCTAAGCCATTTTCTGCAAATCAAATTACCTCATTACAGGGGCATTTTTCATTCTAAGGTCTCACTGTTCTGTGCTTGATATGATATGGACTGTGGCTAAAGACAAGTATTTTTTCTATATTTTTTTCTACAAACATTCAGACCCCTAAAGCCAATGAAAGCAGCTTTGAAAAAAGGTGGTTTGTACCCTGGAAGTTCATAAAATTCTAGCTTGCAAGGACTTGTCATAAATAGCATTGCAAAGGAGCATTCCCAGTTATAATTGATCTTTCCTGAAATTATGAGTGTGTCTTGTAAGAGGACTTAATAACTGAAAAATATACAGTTCTTATCCTTCATGTGGTAGGAGGATAATTGTCTGCTAGTGAGAGTTTTGTGGGTGGGAAAAAAAGCAAAACAGTTTGTTGACATGGAGATGTTTAGTGTAGCAGCTTTGTTTTCTAGAGAACACATGTAGTCTGAGACATAAGAGAGGTGGGGCATATTGCACTTTGGCGAGGCATAACCTGGTGTCCATGATCATGTACAGGTGGCAGCATCTCTGCTGTCAGCACTCTGCCTGAGTGGTTGTCAGGGCAATCCATGGCTCCTGCTGTTTCTGTGCACAGGGACACAGTTTGAGTGATGATGGTGTCTGGTGAATTACATCTAAATGGAAAGCTCTTGCCTAGTTGTGCCTTTCTTAATTTGGGTTTTCTGCTACTTAGATTGAGAAACTCCCTGATAAGATTTCATGCCCCTGACACAGCATTTGAGTCCCCACACAAGCTGTGCTTAATTTTTTAAAAAAAAAAAATCAGTGTATTTTGCAGAGAATCTTAAGTATGAAGTGTGCTTTTTTTAACTCCCAGAAATAAAACATATGGATGTTTTAAATCCCATCACAAGATGTTAACTTAGAAATTGTTGTTTTCATCTGTTGAATTTAATGAACATATCGTTCTTGCTTGACACTTTTGTACAATTCCACCTTTTGTATTTTCAGTTGGTCCATTGTATTCTGTAATACTGGTTTCAAAGCTCTCTCCTTAGGAGGGCGATTGGTTGTGTTGGTGATTGTTATTAGCACTAAAGACATTGATGCTTTGGTCTCAAAGTAATTCTAGATGACTTTGCCTATTACATATTAAATGTTACCACCTTCCCAGCACTTTGGTATTAGTGCTTTTATTTTTTTTTTAAAAGATTTTGCTTTTTATTTGCTGTAATTAAATGGTATTTATTATACTATTTTATAGCATACGGTAAGCCAGGAAACTTTTATTTCTGTGTGTGTGTGTGTGTGTGTGTGTTGGCAGATAATTCATTTGTTGAATGAGTTTCCTATAAGGTAGAAAACCCAAGACTAAAGTTTGGTTGATAATTAATATTTACTACATAAACTAAACATGCTTAGGTTATGAAATAGAAATGAACAGTGAATTTAGCTGGTGTTAGACAGGCAATTGGGACATTTGAGTGCCAGCCAGCCTGGCCCTGCTACCACTTAGCTCCATGAATTCAGCTAAGTCATTCACTTTCTTTGGGCTTGTTTTGTTCCCTTCTCCAAACATGGGGATTTGTCTAATTGATCTTAAAAGCCCTTTCCATCTCGAAAGTTGCCATTTTGTTATTTTATCGAGAGTTGTAAATATACCTTTGAACAAAATATTGCTGGTATCAGATGGTTGTCTTAATGATTGAAGAATTACTTTTTATGAGCCTATGTATTTTATAGAGGGGCTGTTTTATGTAGTAGTTGTGATACTGTTTTCCCTTTGAAAAGAAATTGAAATTTATTTGGGGTTAGCACATCCTGATAGAATAGATTAAATCTCTCAAATACTTCATTCTGCTACTATCAGTAGTTTTGTCTATGAAATGTCTATTCAAAAGTATCTAGCATTAGAACTCTAAAAATCACTAAGTACTAGATATCTCAGGCTAATCTATAGGCTGTAAACCAGTACATAATAAACAAAAGAGCATTGTCTGTCACATTCTAGAAAAATCATTTTTAACCCATTTAATTTACCATTATCAATATTGCCTCTTTTTTAAAAAGTTGTTTTGGGGTTTTTTGTTTGTTTGTTTGTTTATTTTTGCTTGTCAGTGGACTTTTATTTTACTTATTTTATCTGCTGAGAAAATTGAACCTAGTGCCTCACACATGCTAGGCAAGTGCTCTACCACTGAGCTGCAACTCCATCCCTTGCCTGGTTTTTAAAAGAAATTCCAGTCTCTGTTCCCAGAGCTGTGTATTTAAACCCTGAGGCAAGAGATGCCACACCCCAACATTTTTGGTCAGTTTTCCACATAGGCATATCTTTCAGGAAACAACTGTGCCAAGTGCTGTATAGTCAGTTAAAAGGTGACATTTAAGAAGTCTCAAGAGCAGGGCCCAGTGGTACGTGCCTGTAATCCCAGCAACTTGGGAGGCTGACGTAGAGGACCCCAAGTTCAAAGCCAGTCTCAGTGAAAGTGAGGCACTAAGCAACTCAGTGACACGCTGTCTCTAAATCAAATGGAAAATAGGGCTGGGGATTTGACTCAGTGGTCAAGATTTCAAGATTAACCCAGAGTTAAATCCCCAGAACAACAACAACAAAAAAAGACTTAGGAAATTGCTGTCTAGTCTTCTAGTCTTGATGTTAGAATAGTTGGGTTTCTTGTGAGCAGATGCAGCGTTTGTGTACAGCGAAGTCCAAAGCCAGTGGTGTCATCTCTATGCACTGGCTACCAGGAAATGTCTGATCAGATTTTCTACCCATCTCTAGCCAATGTGAAAAACCTTAAAACATGTATTTTATGTATTGATAGTATTCAGTTTTATCTTCTCTATTTTCCTTTTTTCTTCCATTCATATCATTGTCCATTTTTCTATAATCATCTTTTAATGGCAAACAATGATGCTATTTAATAAGAATTTTTTAAAATAAATTTTTAAAAATCACTTTGGTCTTTGAATAAATATGTACTTCTAAAATATTGTATGTTTTAATTGGAATAGAACCACCATTTGACCCAGTTGTCCCACTTCTGGGTATGCATCCAAAGGATTTAAAATCTGCATACTACAGTGATGCAGCCACATCAATGTTCATAGCAGCTCAATTCACAATAGCAAAGC